AAACACAGTCAGGAGGCAGGGAGGAGAAAGGGAGCTGAGACTGACTGACAGACCCAGACACACACTGGGGATAACTTGGGGTTTTGAAACCACAAAGCCCATTCCCAGTGACACCCCTCCTCCAACAAGGTCACACCTCCCAATCCTTGCCAAACAGTTCCACCAACTAGGGATCAAGCATTCAAAAATAAAATCCTATGGGCGCAGTTGTTATTCAAACCACATATGGCTAATAGCAACAATGTTCTAGCCATTGATAAATAAGAGCTGAGGATAGCCTACTTGTTCATTAAGTAGAATAACTCTAATTTCTTATGTTTTTTTTTCTTTTCTTTCTATGGGTTCAAAATACAGTTTGGAGTGTTTGTGGCATTTGGCTATGGTGTATGCACCCAGGCACGTGCATGTGGAACTCTGAAGAGAATGTTGGGTATCTTTTATTGCTGTCCTTCTTGGTTTTTGAGACAGTCCCTCACTGAGCCTGAAGCTGGATATTTTGGCAAGATCAGCTTGCCAACAAGTTCCAGGATCTGCCTGTCTTTATCACCCAACATCGGCGTTAGAGGTGATGTGGTTATGCCAAGTTCTAGAGATTCAGACTTGGGTCCTCTTGCTTGGATGGCAAATGCTCTTGCCTGCTGAGCCATTTCTCCAGCCCCTGTGGTTTATTTTTAAAAGGAATATTTCCAAAGTCAATTAAGATATTATTTCTTCATCATGTGGAAGCAAGGCCTTATGTCAAGCATATGAGCCTTAATGTATCCTCTAGGAATATGACCAAAATTCATGGATGGGATTTGAAGAGAAACTGAAATCGCTGAGCATTTAGGAAAATTTCTTTGTTCCACAAATGACCTTAGTTGCTAAATATTGAAAACTTAAAAAAAAAATTCTGTTTCCTGTATATTTCAAAATTCGAATCACCTCCAAGAAAAGTATTAGTATGAGATGTTTTATAATGTTTGGTTCTTTTCTGCAATCTTAATTTCATTTGTCATATGGCTTTGATCTGTATTAAAAAAAAAAAAAGCTGATGTTCTTAACAAACCTTAGCTCCCATGACCTACTTCCTGAATCATTGCTTCACTTATGCTCTTTACTGGTGACTTTTTTCCCCCACATAGGAGTACAGGTGCTTTATTTGCCTTTGTGTGTGTGTAAATTTGCTTTTGCATTTTTTATGGCATTATTTTATTTGCATGTATGTTGTGTGTGTGAGTGTGTTTCTGGGTGCCGTGGTACATGTGTAGAAGTCAGAAGACAACTTTCAGCAGTCAGTTCTCTTCCTTTTACCATGTGGATCCTGGGGATCCAAGTAAGATATCAGGCTTGGCATCAAGCCCTTTACCCACTGAACCATCGTGCTGGCTACTTTCTCCACTAACCCTTGGGTGGCAGTTACTTAGATGTGACTAAGTTTAGGGTTGTGCGGCCTTTGCTGAAAACTGCAGAGTATATATTCTGGTGAATATTTGCTTAGAGGAATGGTAAGGTCAGTGTGATGTCCCCCTTTCTTGTAAGTGATTGTGTCTTCTGCCAGAAGGTCTGAAAAGAGTTTCCTTCATTTCTTATGATCCACGGCCAGCTGTAGGTTCACAAGCCTAGAATCCCAGATCTCAGAGTTGCAGGTAGGAGGATCAAAAGCTCAAGGGCAGTATCAGCCTGGACTGCTTATCTCACTCAAACAACAAAAATAGCTTAACTAGGATATGGCTCAACATGGAAGAATATACGCCCATTTTCTTTAAACATCTTCTGTAGATGTAGTGTGCTCACTAGTTTTGGGAAATTCTCTTCTACTACATCTTAAAGTTCAAAAATGAATTTCATCTGTTGCATTGTGTACTAGATGAGTAAATATGAATTGTGTCACTATTGTCTCCCTTGGATAGTGTCCTTTTTGCAGTTACTTTGGTCAGATTCCTTCTGTATTTGTTACAATTCTTGCAGTTCCTTAATTCTGTCTGTTTCCTGGGACTTACTGATCCCTGGGCCAGGCACCTTTGCCTCTATCAAGTTTACACTGCAGTGAAAAAGCAGATGAGTGTGACAGGGTGTGGTGGTGAGAAGAGCCCAGATCAGAAACTAGACAATAGGAGATACTTCCATCGGTTCTCAACTGCTGGGTCACAGCCCCGACAGGGTCACATATCAGACATCCGGCATATCAGATGTTTACATTACAATTCATAACAGTGGCAAAATTACAGTTATGAAGTAGCAATGAAATAATGTTATGGTTGGGGTCATTACAACATGAGGAACCATATTAAAGGGTCGCAGCACTAGGAAGGCTGAGAACCACTGCTTTAGATAGAGTTGTTAGAAGGCTATCAATCTGAATTTGAGAAGAAATTTGAATAAAGAGAGGTAGTGAACTTGGCAAAGACTGGGGCAACTTAGATACAGAGAATAGTGTCCATGAAACCCTAAGGGAAAGCGCTGTGTTCAAGACAGAGGGAGGAGAGCCCGGCCAGGTGTCTTGCTCAGTGGTATAGTGTTTGCTTAGCATGCATAAGGTCCTGGGTTCAGTCCTCATAATAATCTTTTTAAAAGCCAAATGAGTTTCAAGGGAAAAGATGGGAAATTAGAGAAATACATGGGCTTACAGAAAATGTAACACAGAAAATGTAGGCCATAGAAAAGTGTGAGTTTTGTTCTTAAAGTGAGAAACAGGTAGATGGCTGCTGCTGAATATTTCAAGAACAGCCACAGAGTACAAAGATTTGTATCCTGCCTGGAGTAGCGGCATAAGCCTTTAACCTCTGCACAGGGCAGGGCAGAAGCAGGGGAATCTCTGAGTCTGAGGCCAGTCTGGTCTGCATAGTGAGTTCCAGGCCAGCAAGGGCTACATAAGGAGACCTTGTTTCAGGGGAGGGGGATGGAGGAAGGAGAAGGAATTTGGTCAAATCCCATTTGGTATGGGACTGAAAAATAAAGAAAGAAAAAGAAAAACTACCAAAATAATGGATGGGGCAATCTCTGTTAGCAGTTACTGCCTTTTTGCTGCTGGGAAACCAGAGAGCTTGGCGGGGGTGGGGAGGCACTTGCTGCCCTGTGCTTGAGAGTACATCACAGAAGCAGTGTTTATAGGACCTTTCCCCTCTCCTTGGCTCTCCCTCCTCCTCTCCCCCAGTTTTTCACTGATGGGACACAGAAGGAATTCAGTTGGGGACTGGAAGCAGAGCACCAACCACAGCAACACAGAGATGGAATCTAAAAATGGCTGAGAGGTGACAGTAAACTGGCACAGAGAAGAGTTAATGGAGAGTTCAAGTTTGTTTGTTTTTTTAACCTAGCCACTTGACTAAAATCATGCAACTTACTGACATCTGACAAGTTTTACAGAAAGGTGAGTTACAGAAGAGACAAGATGTTTGAAATGTGCCAGTTCAGACTCTTTAATTAGACATCTAAGTAGAGTTGCTGGGCACACCAATGAATTAGAACCCAGAACTTAACAGGAGTACCGGGGACGGAATACCAGTCCTAAGACTCCTAAGAGCATAGACATCACAAAACATAAGCATGGCAAATATGGGTGAGATGATCTTGAGGGGAAATGGATTCCCACAAACGGGGGAAAAAAAAAGAACTGGAATATTTGCCTGGGGGTTCCCAAACATGTGTGAAGAGAAAAATGATCTAGAAGAGTTACTTTTCTATTGCTGTGATAAACTGTTACCAAGGCAATTTATAGAATTGTTTAATTGGCTTAGAGTTCATTTGGGCTAGAGTTCATGATGGCAGAGCTAGGGCACGGCAGCATGAACAGCTGAGATCTCACCTCTCAGACTGCCAATACAAGGGATGGCAGGAAGCTTTAGAAAGCTTAAAGCCCACCCCAGTGATGAACCTCCAATAAGGCCACACCTCCTAATCCTTTTTAGATAGTTCCTCCAACTGGGGACCATGAGTTCAAACATACGTGCCTATGGGAGCCATTCTCTTTCAAACAACCACATTCTACTCCCTGTCCCCACAGTCACATGGCCATATCATAATGGAATATGCATTTGGTCCCATTTTCAAAACCCCCATAGTCTCTACAATCTCAAAGCTGTTTAAACGTACAAAATCCAACGTCTCTTTTGAGACTCGAGAAAAACCTCTTAATTGCAACCCCCTATAAAGCCAAAAAGCAAATTATATACTTCCAACCTATGATGACACAGAATTTACATTACCATTCCAAAAGGAAGGAACCTGAATGTTGTGCGGAAATACTGGAACAAAGCAAGACAGAACCCCAGCAGGACAGACTCCAAATCTGGTAGCTCCATGTCCAATGTCAAAAGGCTTGGAGGACTTCTACCTTGCCAGCTTTGCTGCCTGTAAAATGCCCCCTCCCTATTTCCCCTCCCTCACCCCTATTCCTTGATTAGTTCTACTCCTGTATGAAGCTCTGCTTAGCTTAACTAGACTGGACTTCATTTTCTTCTTTCAAGTTATTGTCTATACAGGAATGTAGGGGAAGAGGGAGTCACTAAAGTGCTCACCCTAAAAACATGATGACCTAACTTCAATCCCCAGGACCTATAGTAAAAACGGCTGAGCATGTTCACACATGCCTACAACCCCAGTGCTGGGGGAGTGGAGAAGGGGAATGCTGGAGCTTAGTAGCAGCAAAAGTCTAGCTGAATTGGTGAGCTCCAAGTTCAATGGACCTTGTCTCAGAAAAAAAAAAAAAAAAAAGGTACAAAATAAAAATAAAGTGAAAAGTAAGAAGAAACAGTGTTGACCTCTGGTCTCCATACTCATCTCATCCATGTGAAGCATACATAAAATACTACCAATATAAAAGAAATATGACAGATAAGTCTTAGCACTATGTTACCTTATAATATATTAAATATTATGGTGGCTACCATTTACAGAATATCTTGTGAACCAGGAATAGTGTTAGGCATTTGTATGTTTAAAACTCTTTTTTTAACAACCCTATAAAGTAAGTGTTGGCAGGTCATTTCCACAAGAAACACACTTTTTTTTTTTTTTTTCTGGTGATCACATAATCTCATCTGAAGCTTTCATTTAACCAAAATGAAGACAGTAAGAATTTTTCTTGGGGCTGAGGAAATGCCTTGGCAGTTACCAGTATGGTTGCTCCAGCAGAGGGCCCAGGTTTAGTTCCTGGAAACCACATGCATGGTAACTTCCACCGTCGGTAACTCCCGTTCCTGGGGGCTTGCTTTGCTCAGAGGAGGTCCTAGGAGGGTCCTAGAGGAATACAAATGGTACATGAACATCCTAGCAGGCAAAACACATGTATCTAAAAAGGAAAGAAAATTTTCAGACAATTTTTTCTTCTGTTTTTACTTAGAATTGATATTTAAGAGGCTCTTCTTGGGCCACCCAGACGGCTCATTGGGGTAACAGCATTCATCAGGCAAGCTTGATGGATAACCTGGGTTTGGTCTCTGGAACCCACGATGGAAAGAGAGCACTAACTCTCAAGACTGCTCTGACATCCACACCTGTGCATTGGCATGTGCTGGCACACACTTCCTCTCAAACATGTTTGGAAATCATGAAGTTGCTACTAGGTAGCTCTCTCATGTCAGTTTGGAATCTGAAGGAAGATGGAAGTTAAAAATGACTTCTAGCACAGTATGGCTTCTACCATTAATTCCGTAATATACTACAAAACACTAGTGAATATGAATAAAGGGAACTGTTAAGCCAACATGTTAGAATGGTTGAGAAAAATATTCTTACAACTGAGAACAATATGCTTCAATTTGCCTACCTCGCTATCTGAGAAGCTCTTAACACTCTTGTTAGAGACACAAAATCAGGGATGGCTACACATTAAACAAATCCAAGGAAAAGACTGGTCACTTCATTTTCTTAGAAGTTTCTTAAGGTTTAATTTTGTCTTTAAATGGCATTTTTTTAAACTTATTTTATCTAAGTATATGTGTCCGTATTTGGGTGCCTGTGGAGGCCAGAAGAAGGTGTTAAATTCTCTGAAACTGGAATTAGAGGCAATTGAGAGCTGCTCAGTGTGAGTGCTGGAAACAGAACTCAGTCTTCTGGAAGAGCAGTGAGTATTTAACCACAGAGCCACCTCTCCAATCTTTCTCTTAAGGTTTTTAGTGAATACCATTTCACCATTCTGTTACTATGGACACACAAAGTGCCTTTACAGTTCTTAGTGTTCACCTGTAATAAGGCCCATGAGTAGTAGGAATCTGTTTGGCTAAGCTATATCACACTATTCCTGGAAAAAAATATTTACACATTCCCTCAGCCTCCCAGCTAAGGAAATTCACATATGTTGTAATATAAATGGTACCCACTGCAATTGTGCACTATGGGGACACTGCATATGTTTTATACATTAAATTAGGGTAGACTTACTGTTGTAATAGAGCAAGTCAAAATTAAGTAATGGCTCAAATTTGTTTCTTCCTGAAGTAAATAAATAGTTCAGTATTCCTTGTTGCTTCAGGAAGAAATTAATGTGGTAGAAGAGAGTCAGAGGATTGCTGAGGTGTCAGAATAAGGCCGTAAAATTGTAACTCATGTTTTCTACAGCAGATTTGCAAATAGTTCACTTGGACTACCACATTCCTTCCTTCCTGAGACTACAAGGAATAGTTTAAGTACTGTAGAAATCTGGTATAATTTTTCCTGTTTCTCTGAAAAGAAGAAACGAGAAGTTTTCTTTAAAGCTAATTATTCATATTAACTATATAACATGATTCCCATTAAAGATTTCTATGAAAATACCAAGACTCAAATGTATTTACAGTCTTTACATTACTTTATTTCTGGAAAAAAATTTTTACCAACATATAAATGTGTTTATAACTTCATATGCTTTTCCTTAGGGAACTTCCTTGGTTTTAAGCTGGAAGGAGCAATTTATTCAAAATCATACTTTACATGACAAAAATAGCTAAAAATATAGTCTGTGTATTTTAGTTCTCTTGAAAGACCATAGATTCAAAAAACATCTCGTTATCTACTGATAGTGTCTACTCTTCTTCTTTCTTCTCCTTCTTCTCCTCCTCCTCCTCCTCCTTCTTCCTTCTCCCTCTTCTGACAGGATCTCACATAGCCCAGGCTAGCCTCAAACTCATTATGCTGGCAAGGCTGGATATAAACTGTTCTTTGTGCCTGTGCCACCTGAGTGCTAAAATTACAGGCGGTGGCAGCACCGCCAAGGCCAGTGTCCATTTCTCTGCTGCATATTGTAGCACAACATCGCCACAACAGTGTAGCACACGGTACGTATGACACTTGAAGCGTCGCTTTTGAAAATATGACAGTATATAACAGGTAGGTGTGCAAGAAAATGACATGCATGTAGAATGAAGTAAAAGCTATAAATAATTGCTAAAAATGTGTAATATGAAAATGATATAAAAGCTGTAAGTAATTGCTAAGAATGTATAATATGAAGTGAGTAAAACTGAAAATTTACTAGAATAGTAAAATGTAGGGAGCAGGAAAGGGGCCTTTTAGACAAGGGCTCACAATATAGATCCAAGGCTGACCTTGAACTCATAATCTTCCTGCTTTACCCTTCCAAGAGCATACCACCAGACCCAGGTGAGGCAAATCTTATGTATATATAAGAGAGATAGAGACACAGGCAGAGAGAGACAAAGAGATAGAGAGTAAAATTTTAAAGCACTGATGGACTTGGATTACCAGAGAAAAAAGATAATCAGATTTATTTACTGCTTGCTTAGTATAGGTTCAATACACTAGACATAACAATGGACAAAACTGCAGAGGAAGAAGGTTGTTGTTTCCCAAACATGTTGATAGGCAGAACTAGAAAGAAGCCAGACACAGTAGCTCACATCCGTAATCCCAACACTCAGAAGACTAACAGAAGAAATGAGAGTTTGAGGCTAGCTTGGTCTATATAATGAGTTGGAGGCCAGTTGGCTGTGTGGTGAGGTCCAATCAAAGAAGTGGAGATGAGAATGAAAAGGGAAATGGGAATGGACTCATCTTAAGAGGCCTTAAGTGTTGGGAAAGCTGTTTAGTAAATGAAGCTAAGCTGTCAGCTAGAGGAGCATGGTTTTCTTCTCTAGGATGCTTTCCCTTACCCTAGGAACTTTAAAACTCCGAGGATAATACAAAATGATTATTGCCCACATCATGAATCCCAGCTGAGGTAAGACATGAGCAAGAACTTCAATCTTCTGTCCCAGTGGATGAAAGCTTACAGTGAACGCCCACTGTGAAAAAAACAGCCTTTCATTCAGCATTTGTCCTCAAAGGTTTTGCTCTTCTGCTTTCCTTCCTGGTAGAAGCACTGAAAGAAAGAGATTATCGTATTTAAATTCACCTTCTCCAGTGAAGCAGGTTTTCCTTATTCACCCAGTTACACACGCACACACACACACACCGTGTCTGATCCAAGTATTTCCTGTTTGTATAGGTTGGTGGAGAAGGAGGTACACAAGGTAAGGAGCTAGGGTGAGTATCAAGAGACAAGAGGCTGTTAGGAAGCAGTAACTGAAAGACAGAACAAGTTTAGCAATGGCTTATCTTTATCCAGGGGAAGGAAAGAAAATGAGGAAATGAACACAAGAGTGTGACATTGAAGATGTAAAATCTTATCTTCAGGTGGAGAGAGAGAGAAAAAAGGAGAATGCTACAGACTTGATAAACATGTGAAATATAGAAACTGAAATTCTAGAGACTGAAGAAGGAATGGAATGAACATCAAATGGCTCTACATGAACTTTGATTATAAGATAAACTTTTAATTTCAAACTAATTATGTGCTTATCACATGATTTACCCATTTACAGAGTTCTAAAGCATGCAAACTAATCTACAGTCATAGCCAACCAGGGATTCCCTGAGGAAAGCGGTAGGAGGAAGAAGGAATATAGAGCCTGAGAGTACTCTCAGGTGTAATGGATTTCATCAGATTTATTTCATTTTCTTGACTGACTGCACTGATTTTGAGTGAGAACAGGTATCTTTGTAGCATTCCTGGCCTTAGAGGGAAAGCACCATTGACGTAAGGTTATCTCTAAGCCTTTGTAAACAGACTTTGTAGATGTCTTTGTGTCTGGCTGAAGAAGTACCCGTCTGTGTTAGTCTGCTTTCCAGCATTGTGACAGAATACTTGAAAATACCAACTTAAAAGGCAAAAGTCCTTCATATGTTCTCATGGTTTCAAAGGTTCAGTCATTTGGCCTTGTGGCTTTGGCGTATAGCAGCGCAGTGCACCATAATATCGGTGGGGTACTGAGCTCTGTTCACTGCAGGGTGGCCAGGAGGTGAAGAGAAAGGGCAAGATCCCCTTTCTGGGTATGCCTCCAATGATGTAACGTCCTCTAACTATAGATCCCATCTCTTAGAAGCTCTGCCACCTCACAGCAGCTCCACAGGCTCGGGATCGTGCCTGCAACAAATGGGCCTGTGTAGGATGCCGTGGATCCAAACTACAGTACCTTCTCTCACTATCTGGCTCAGAGGTGTTGATGGATGGTGGCTTAAAGGCCATAGGATTTTGTCTTTGTTGAGGTAATTAGATTTTTAGTGTACTATGATGAATTTAATTTTTAATATTTTGTGTGTATACCTGTGTGCATATGCCCAAGGTTATACACATGGAGGTCAGAGGACAACTTCTGGGTCTCGGTTCTCTCCTACCACATGGATCTTGGGGATTGAACTCAGGTTATATAGTTTAGCAACAAGCTCCTTTACCCAGTGAGCAATACACTTGGATTTGTTAAACAAACCAGCTATTCTAGGACTAGTGTCAGCCAGCTATAATACTGTCCTTTGTAGATATTGTTGAATTTGATATTGTAACATTTTCTTTGTAGTTATCATACCTGTGTTTGTGTGTGTGTGTGTGTGGGGGGGGTGAAAACAGCCTGTAGTTCTTTTTTGTAATGTCCTTCCGTGATTTGGGAATCAGGATAATCCTAGCCTCAAAGAACAAATTAGAAAGGAATCTCTTCTTGCCAGTTTTCTAGAAGCTTGTGCATAACTAGTACGTTTTAGCCTCAGTGTTTAAAAGAATCCATGAATGTCTTTGTGGGAGTGTGTTTAACTACGAATTCAGTTTTCATATGGCTCTTCAGGTTATCTGTCTTCTTAAATGGGCTTCTGAATAACTATTTCAGGGAATCCAATAATTTCATCTAAGTTCTGTGACTACCTCCTAAAACTTTCCTGTAATATCCTTTATTGTCATTTACAATGCCATAAGGTTATAGCCTCCTTTGTTGTGTGTTGTTGTTATTGTTGAGAGGGAAGACTCCCGCAGTGAAGGCTGGTCTCCAGGGCGACTGTATTTAGTGTTGGGATTACAGAATTGGGGTTAGAGACATGCACCACCACCCCACCACTCATACTGTGTCTTTTCTCCCTGTTCTCTTTTGTCTCTCTTTTTGTTTTCCTGATCATGTTTGACTTAAGATTTATCAGTTTCATTGATATAAAAATCAGTTTTTGTTTCATGTACTTAACTGATTTTCTCTTTCCTTTTTTTGTGTGTTTAACTTTTGTGCTTTAATAAGGTAGGAGCTGAGATCATTGTCTAATGTAGTTATTTTGCTTTTAAATGTCACCAGCTACATAGTAGTGCTTTAGTGGAAGGCCATGAAATTTGATGTTTTTATTTTCATTCAGTTCAAAATGCAAAATGCCTTCTAATTTTACCATAGGTTCCTTTGTTAATCAATAAGTTTTCTAGAAGATTTTAGTTCAGAATATTGACATTTTCTAAGAAGTTTCTGTTACTGATTACTAATTTAATCCACTGTGGCCAGAGGAGATTTTTTTTTTTTCCATGATTTGAATTCCTTAAAATTTATGAAGACATGTTTTCTGGTTTAGAATATAGGCTGGTAATTTTTTTTTTTCTATAAAAGTTTGGTTGGTAAATATTTTAAGTTTTATGAGACACACACAGACTCTGGCATATATTTTTTCTCTCTTTGTAAAAATGTACATTTGAAAATATGAAGACCATTATTAGCTCACATCCTGCGCAAAAAAGGGCCATTGTGTGTTGGCGCGTGTACCGCATGCCACTTTGAAGAGAATCTATGTCCCACTATTGTTAGTAGTTGTTCTAGAAAAGTGAAAAGGCGGTACTAGTTAATAGTCTTAAGTTCAGCTTGTTGAGTTGAATTTGCTGAAGGAGATTACTGAAGGTTACGCCAAAATCTGACTAGGGGCCGTGGGCCGTGGTTCAATCAGTAAACTACTTGCTGTGCAAAGATAAGGAACCAAATCAGGATCTCCAGAATTCCCATAAAAATCTGAGCATAGTTGGAGAGATGTCCCAGTAGTTAAGCGCACTTACTACTCTTGCAGTAGGCCTGGGTTAAATTCCTAGACCCCACATCAGGCAACTCATAACTGCCAGGAACTCCAGTCTAAGGGATCTTTGGCCTTCTGGCCTGCGTGAGCACCTGCACCCATGTGCTGTACACAGATGCACCCAGGTGCGCGCGTGTACACACAAACACACGTGTGCCATTAAAATATTAAAAACAAAAAACTAGGCATGGCAGAGGGGGAACAGGTGGATACCTGAGTTTTACTGGCCAGCCGCATTCCCCAAATTGGCAAGTTGGCAGATTTAGTGAGAGACTCTGCCTCAAAAAAATATGGTAGAGAGTTGATTGACAAAGACACTCAAGATAGACCCCTGGCCTCACACACACACACACACACGTACATGGATCAATCACGGGTTTTTTTTTTTTTTTGAGAACTCACTCTGTAGATCAAGTGGCCTTGAACTCAGAGATCCACCTGCCTCTGCCTCCCAAGTGCTGGGATTAAAGAGGTGCACCACCAAATTAACAATAGATTATAGGGCATCAATAAACTAAAAAAGTTAAACAATAGGAGGGAAGAAATGGGAGAATGATATTATAAAATTGTTTTGTGGTACGAGAAATGTTCATATTGCTTGAATGTAGACTGCAGTAACTTAAATCTACATTCTATAAACCCTAAGCCTAAAAGATCTCTTACTGTAATTGTGGATTTGTCTATCCTTGCAGTTCTTTTAATTTTGTGTTGATATTTCAAAGTTCTATTTTTATTTAGGGCAGAAACATTTATTTCGCTCTGAAATATATTTTATTTCCTTTTAATGCTGCTGTATCGCTTTCTACTGACCGATGTGAGGGCCAGTATGGTATAGCTTTTCTATCCTTGCACTTTTATCGTTTTTGTATCTTTGTATATGGAATGTGTTTCTCAGACTTACCTTTTAATAGTTTTTGCCTTTTAATCAGATGTTTAAGTCATTTACTAAAATGGTTAGGTTTGTCTGTTTTCTGTTTGTTCCAACTATCTATCTTTGTCCCTATTCCACTTTCTGACTTCTTGTGAACAGTTTATTATATTTTATCTCCTTTGTTGGCTTATCAGCTATAACTGTATTTTTCCACTTGCCCTAGGATTTACAGAATACAGACTTTAAATTACCTTAGTTTACATCCCAGTGATATTTACACCTTGTTTTACAAAACAATTTTATAGTATCATTTCTCCATTTTTCCCTTTGGGGTGTGTGTGTGTGTGTGTGTGCGTGTGTGTTTGTGTATGCATGTGCATGCACATATGTGTGTATGTGTGTGTAGACCAGATTGACCTTAAATTCATAGAGCTCTGCCTGTCCTACATCTTGAGTGCTGGGTTTTGAGGCTTGTGCCACGGTGACTGGCTATTCTTCATATTTAAGACAAGGTCTTGCTATGTTGTCCAGGCTGGCCTCAAACTCCTTGGCTCAAGTGATTCTTCTTGACTAAGCCTCCCAAGTAACTGGGTTCCAGGTAGGTGTCACTGTTTCTTTTCCTTATTGTTATTTTCTTAAACATGTATTTGCATGTAATTACATACTCACAAATTCAGTGTTTGCACCTGTGAAGGCTAGAGGGCTTTCTTGATTGCTCTCTACTTGTTTTCTTTTTGGAGGTTCTGTCTCTCACTGACTTGTATCTCAGAGACTCAGCTCGGCTTGCCAGCCAGTGAGCTCCAAGGATGTTCCTGTCTATTTCCCCATCCCTAACCCCACTTCTAGTGTTTAGGTTACACATGTGAGCTACCATATTTGGCATTTATGTGGGTACTAGAGATCTGAACTCAGATCAGTTCTTGCCCAACAGACACTAAAGCCATTTCCCCAGTTGTCATTTTCCTTATGTCTAAAGGACTTTGCTATTTCTTTACTGTGGCCTACAATGAAATTATTTTAGCTTTCAAATCTCTAGACGCATACTTATTTTGTCTTTGTTTTAAAATATTTATTTGGCTGAGTTTTGT